TTATCAGCTCTCTTTGGAGCAACTGTGGAAGCCTATAAAAGCCTAAATACCAAAACTCTTCCTAATTGTTTATTAAAGTGAGTCATATGATATGACATCTTCAATTCAAAATAGTTGTGCCCGCGCCTACCCTTAATATATGGTCGTATTTATTTATTGTCATGCAAAAGAAAAAGTCGTTCCTAATTATTTAACCACCCACACTTACGTAGTCTATTTCTTTTTTCTTTTTTTTTATATTTATATAATACAGATAATAGTCTAAACTATAAGAGGAGGATGGTTTTCTCACACACACACTATCAAGGTGCCATGAGGAATTCGAATATGAGATCATTGGTCTGCAAGTCAAGACCATTTTTCCACTCGGTTAGACCTCGTTGGCGAGTAGTATTTATAAAAACAAAAAAAAGTAAAAAAAGTAATTATTGTACACATCACACTGTTAAGTAGTCTTTCTTTATTGATGAAAACACAAAATGAGTGTTGCCAATTTCACTCCCCTCATTATTTCCCCATTCAACGCTTATAATTAATCTTAATTGCACATTTATCTCTTATGAAATTACTTAAAAGAACAATTTAAGCTTTAAAAATAATAAATAAAATACTGAATGAAATATCAGCTGTGTACAAAATTGTTCCCACCGTTGACTACTGTATGTGATCGGCAAGAAAAAGTATGGTTTGTATTTGAAGGCACATTTGCAGTCAATTGATTCATACCCTCTGTATTCACCTCATCGAAAAAACCATGGCTGATGTTGCCTTTGAGTTGGCAAGCAAACTCATTGAAAAGCTAAGCTCCATTGCCTACGATGAGATTTGCTTGGTATGGGGGGTCAAAGCAGACCTGCAGAAGCTGGGGCGCACCATGTCAGCCATCAAAGCTGTCCTCTTGGACGCTGAAGAGAAGCAAGCATATAACAAGGAGCTACGCAGTTGGCTACAACAACTTAAAGATGTGTTTCTTGATGCCGAGGATTTGTTGGATGAGTTTGAGTGCCAAGCTCTGCGAAAGCAAACATATCATGGCACCACTAGAAAGGTACGCCATTTCTTTTCTCCTTCTAATCCAATCGCTTTCCGTTTGAAAGCAGGTCATGAGATCAAGGGGATTAGGGAGAGGTTAGATGAGCTTAAAGCTAATAAGGCTATATTTGATCTTCTCTCTATTGACCATCATGGAAGAAATCATGATGATCATCATAGTAGTGTAAAGAACATGATGATGAGAGAGAACATGACCCACTCCTTTGTTCGTCCTTCGGAGGTTATTGGTAGACACTCTGAGAAAAAAGAAATTGTTGATCTTCTGCTGCAACAAGGTGATAACCAAAGTGGCAACAATAAGAATGTTTCTGTCATTCCAATAGTGGGAATTGGAGGTTTGGGGAAGACCACACTAGCCAAATTGCTGTACAATGATGAAAGGGTTGTTAGGAATTTTGAATTGAGGATGTGGGTGTATGTTTCAGTAGACTTTGATCTTATTAGACTAACAAAAGAGATTCTTAGTTCTGCATTAGATACAGAGATCAGTGATAAGTTGTCTATAGATCAATTGCAAGGAAAGCTACGCGACGCTTTGAAGGATAAGAAATTTTTGCTTGTCTTGGATGATGTGTGGATTGATGATCGTATAAAATGGAGTGAGTTCAGAGATGTATTGATAGATGGAGCCAAATTAGGAAGTAAAATTTTAGTGACGACGCGTAATATATCAGTTGCTTCAGTCACGAGCACAGTTCGAACATACGTTAATTTAAAAGGCCTCTCTAATGAGGATTGCTTGTCTTTATTTGTAAAATGTGCATTTGTAGAAGAAGATGAGAAGAAACATCCAAACCTCTTTGAAATAGGAAAAGATATTGTGAGAAAGTGTGGAGGGGTTCCGTTGGCGGTGAGAACCTTAGGGAGTCAATTGTACTCGGAGACTGATGAACGGAAATGGAAATTGATAAGAGATTCTGAGATATGGGAATTAGAACGAGAAGGTGCTGGTCACATTTTACCTGCTTTAAGATTGAGTTATACTCAACTGCCTTCTCATTTGAAAAATTGTCTTGCTTACTGTTTACTTCTTCCAAAGGGTATGTTTGGATATTATAGCTTGGACTTGATCTATTGTTGGATGGCACATGGAATCCTTCAACCAAGGGATCATGAAAATCCAGAGCTAGAAGATGTTGGCGAGCTATATTTCAAAGAGTTATGGGCGAGATCTTTCTTTGAGCATGTTGAACTTGTGGACTATCACTATAATCTCAGCTATAGATTTTCCATGCATGATCTTATCCACGACCTTGTACAATCACTTGCAGAAAGTGAGTTCTCTATAGTAAACTCTAGCACCAAAAACATCTCTGAAAATGTTAGACATTTGCCAATTCTGGAACTTGGCCAAAATGGTTCAACAATGCTGCGAAAGCTGAACAAAGTGCGAACCATAACGGCGCGGGGTATAATTATTGATGAATCCTTCCTTCACACTTGCCTTTCAAGATTCAAATATCTGCGTATGCTTGGCTTGTTTGATTTATCATTGAAAGGGTTGCCAAGTTCCATTGGTACCCTAAAGCATTTGAGATATCTGGACTTAGCTGGTAATGATGAAATCAAGAAACTCCCCAACACAATTTGCAAGTTACAGAGCCTGCAAAGCCTAGGCCTTCTTGGATGTGAGAATCTTGAAAACTTGCCTAGAGATACAAGCAACTTGACTTGCCTCAGACTCCTTTTCTTAACCACAAAGCAAACAAGTTTTTCGGAGAACGGAGTCGGATGCTTGAAATCACTTCGGTTTCTTTGTATTTGGAATTGTGGAAATCTAACGTCTTTGCCAAGTGATATGAGTTACCTTGCTGCATTGCGTACCCTTGTAATATATAAATGTAAAAGGCTTGAATTGGTGAATGGAAACTATCAAGTAATTGCACTGAGGCTCCAAAAATTGGTTATAGATGGTGTACCAAAGATGTTGGCATTGCCCGAATGGTTGCAAGGAGCTGCTGAAACCCTACAAGACTGCTATATTATACACTGTGACAATTTGGAGGCATTACCAGGGTGGTTGACAAATTTCACGTCGCTTAGAAAGCTGGTCCTTGAATCGTGCCGGAAATTGTTGTATTTGCCAGAGAAGGTGCATCCTCTAGAACTTACAATTGAAAATTGTCCTAAATTGGAGAGGAGATGCTAACGTACCATTGGGGAAGATCCACCGAAGAATTCAATTTGTAGAAATCTTGTATGTGTTCTTGGCAATATTTTCCATTTCTCTTACATTGAAGGGAAAAATAACTTGCGCAGATGTTTTCCTTTCCATTGTGGAATAATCTTTTATTTGTTTCTTTCCTTGACTCAGTGATTGATTATATCATGGTTCAATTCTTCTTAATATTAAGAAGGGCTACATAGCATATGTGAATTAATCCAGTTAGTTAGAGTAGTGGGATGACATTGATCGAATTTGAACAATGTATAAACTATTCGGGTTGACATAATATATGGACTATTCGTGATTAAAAAAAAACCTGTAAAATATTATAGGACGACAAACTAATGAATAGCAGTTTATTAAGTTAAAACTGAGGCATGCTTCAATCTCAATTGTTTTTTCGGTTGAACACTTGATCAAAATTTCAAAACTACAAAAAAAAGAAAAAAAAGAAAAAAAAAAGGCAACCAGAAATCGAGAGTGGAAATATATATATGCATATGAGAAAAAAAAGATGAGTGCTTCTAATGATGTGTGTGACAGCATATGGTGCCAAGTACAGTACAGCCACTGTTTAACCTTCTTTCCAGAATATACTATTTTCTGCAAAAGAATCAATATGATGGCATGGCAGTTTGTAGTACTCATTCACTGTATAAGCTGGCTGTTTGCTTGAGTGTTTTGCAAACAGCATGGCATATGAGGGCACTAGCAAGACTGACTTTATGAAACGCTGGGAACAAGAAGTTCCCAGATTTTGAACGAAATGGATTTCATGCTGGCAAATTGACACAAGGCAAGATGTCAGTGGCTTGTGTCACCAGATATATCATGTCTTCTTGTAATGGTTACTCTCATTCACGGTTTAAGGAACATGGAGGAAATATGCATCCTCACGTGACGAGAGAAATATAGAGAAATAAAAGTTTACTCTCTAGACTCACCATGTGATTCATTGTATATATGCTTATCAACTTTTATAAGATGCTGACACATTTGAAGCCAACTAGTCATTCTATTTCTATGTTGTTGGAGAGAGAATGCTATGCATATTTAAGAGGAGAAATATGCTTTGGCAGAAGGAAAGGGAAAAAAAATTACAGCAATTATTCTTGGTGGTTGGGGGTCACATATGGGACATTAACATGTGATACCAATAAGGACAAATTGGGAAGAGAAATCAAAGTTATCTCCACTTGAGGAGGTCACAGAGAAAATCAAGACACCACTGACATGTTGTAAATATCCTCAAATGTTTATATAAAATAATTATGTTTCAAACTTCAAGACCGTTTGGTCCTCATCCATGTTCTGCAGCTCAAAATTACACCAACCAGAAAAGTTATCAAAAGCAAAAAAGTATACCACAGATAGAGAAGTGAAATAATCACAGAAAGAAGATCCAAAGTACCAAAAGTAAGAGTGACACAACAATTCAATTTCAGAAAACCATTAATTAAGTTCTCTCTCTCTCTCTCCCTCTCTCTCTCTCCCATTATTTTTACTCCTTAGCATCACTTGGTTTTTTCATTCTCATCTTGGTCTCTTTACCATATCGTTCCTTCTTTTGTATTACTATCATTTTCTCAGTCTAGCTTTTATCACCTCTTTCGTGGTATTTTTTGCTTGAAAATAAACTACAATCCGGCCCTTTTTCTTTCTCAAGTAATTTCATCCTCCTCATAGTTTTCATTGAATCTTTATTCTACATATAACATCCCAAAGGACCAAGTTAGAAGAGAGACCATATATCTTCACCAGGTAGCACATATATATGTTCATGGGGACTCTTCCACAGTCACAAGTTGGGGCGCCGCCGGTGGTAGTGGTGGACTCAAAGACTAGTTCACGGTACACGCATCGATCCATTGAGACACTGGTGGTGGTTTTGGCAGTGATCACACTAGTAGGTGTCATTGCAGGGATTGTAGCTCGGCTATGTGGTGGAAGGCATCTTGGTGGCAGTGGTGAGCATGACATAGAAGGATGGGTTGAGAGCAAGTGTAGGAGTTGCATTGATGGTGGAGTTCCACCAGAACCCTCCCCTCCACAACAAGCCAAGCCTGCAGCAACAGAAGAAGCAAAGAAGTGAAAAATGGACATCATAAATTATATATGTAATTATATGAGCCAGCAGTTGAGGTATTAATTGTCCTATCTGATTTATAATTAGTTGTTAATCATAGAACATAGGTGGGCTTATTACCATTAATTTCCACATGTGCTTACGGGGAGGATGACATAATTTTACTAGTGTAAGAAATTGTTGGATTATTATTAATTATTACTGTGTTATGGCCTGTAAATTTCTAGTTCCACACCATTGTTTCAGTTGTGTCTTTCGTTGTTTTTTATTTTATACAAGCGATATTGAAGGAGGGGGGTTTTCTCACACACACACTGCCAAAGTGTCATGGAGGTTCGAACATATGAGACCACTAGTTTGCAAGTCAAGGTCTTTTCCACTGGGCTAGACCTGCTGGCTTCATTGTTAATTTTGATTAATTTATGGTCTAATTGCAATTGAGCTTTTTCTTCCCCAATAGGCCTACTTACTAAGATCATCATTGCTTTCAGCACTATACTTGATATCATGTTGGGTGACTTAGTCGTAGGCATGGATCTTTTTACCACCTTTTACAGTAACAAAATGCTGCAGAACGGAATTAAAACGGTCGATGACATAAAGAACTCTTCAAATATTTTACACAAGCAAAAGGTATGTAGTGTATGATTATAATTTCACACTATCTGACCGTTGCTTTTCAAAAGCTGATCTTCATCATGCTTTTGCTGCATTCTCTCACTCGTCTTTCAAAGGCTGACCAAAATAGGCCAATGCTACTCAAAGTCCCCCCCAAAAAAAAAGATCTGTTTTATTTGAAACAAATTTAGAAAAGTCCTCATCTGACAGATCACCATCTGTGGATTCTTGCTTGCTTTCGTAAACCCCCCAGTCTGTTTGATTCAATAAGCACTACCCTTGATTGTTTATAGTGATGTGTGTGGCTATGCATAAATTAGTCAAGGAAAAGAATTCTTTAATTATTTATCAAAATTTTGATTTTCCTCTACAAGTATGCGAAAATAATAGCAACCAAAATACATGTGTGCCAAACAAAGTGATGGAAATGGGAGAGAGGTTGTGTCGAAAACTTCTCTTCAATATTCTGATGGTAATCTACATTGAGGAATCGCAGCTCATTACATGGAACTCTAGAACAGAAAAGGTAATGAAACACATGGATGGATTGTCCTAGAAAAGGACTATAGAGACAAATTTACTTGTGTAGGGAGGTTATAAGGTCTTGGACACATGCCTATAAAAGGCCACTCCTGACAGAACCCGACTCAAATTCTACTTTGGAGTCTGAGCCGAACCCTGTGCGTGTCCAACACTTGGCGGGTGCCGAACACACTTGACCGAATTGCCCTTTTAATTAAGACTCAAAATTATTTTAAGGTTTGATTTCTGTCGAAAATTCAGCAGTCCCCCTTGTAATTCGCTTGCTTCCCAAAATTTTCACCAGTATAAAATGCAACTCATGTCCACAATCGTTCAGCAAACAAGAATTCCATCCATACTCAATTCAACAGTGATTCCAATGGAACTCAGGCCCGTACCACACAATAAAAACACTGACATTCACCTTATTATAAACGAAAAATAACGGTAATCCAAAAATTACCCAATTACAACGGATTTCAACTAAACCAATTCGAAGCACAATTCAACAGTTTATTTTGCGGCTACACCTAGGTTGCCTACGTACCCTTACATAGGGATCAAGTCACACATAGTTCTTTCATACTACGTGTATTTGCAAGAGATGAAGTATTTGCAAGAGAAAGGAAGTATGCACACAAACAAGACATGGACAAGAAAGATTAAGAAACCATGACCATGGATACGAGCCATATGTCCCCTGAAACAAAGGCATTTTGGAAGATAGAACGAATGGATGTTATAAGAATAAGGCTTTTCAGTGACGATGGACCTAGCAACACGGATTGGTTAAATGATGAAAGCCATTAGGTTGTATTGGTTGTCTTTTATTTAATTAGTTGTATTTCTTGTATTTTATTTAATTTGTTGTATTGCTTGTCTTTTATTTGATTAGTTGTAATTCTTAATTAGTTGTATTGCTTTTCTTTTATTGAATAAAGAAAGTATTCAATAATATAGCTACTTATTAAAAACACCGTATACATCAAAACAAAGCATAATTCATTATAAAACACAAAGAAATCATAATTCATTACACAACACAACTAAAGCATAATTCAAAACAAAACACAAACAAAGTATAATTCAAAATAAAGCATAATTAGAAACTAAGCATTAAACTTGACTTCATTACCTGTGATTATCTCTTAGCGCTCATAAGTGCTCAATTAAGTCAACTTGATGTCATTCGTGAACATAAGAAAACTGCATTTTTCGTATAATGGTCAATCACACGGTTGTTGTAACGACTGTCCCTAATTAACGGTTCATGTTGCAGTGGTTGTCCATTTACTCCCACGGGCCATTCATAAATTTTTGTCAATGTCGTGTTCATGGGATCGGTTTCAAACACCTCTGGTTCATCATAGTCATACTCATCCCCCATAATCATGTTATGGAGGATGATGCATGTCATCATAATTCTCCGAAGCACCTCTTCATCAAACATACGAGTAGCCCCCCTAATTATTGCCCACAGAGCTTGGAGGATAACAAAACATATTTCCACATTTTTCCTATAACCCCCTTAATAGGCAACAAAAGATTTTTCCTTCTCTGACTGGAGATGCGAAATTGTTTTAACGAATGTCATCCACTTCGGGTAAATTCCGTCTCCTTGGTAGTACCCACCCTCGTAGACGATATTGTTGATTTCATACGTGATTTGAAGGGCTTGAGCTCTCAACACATCGTTGAACATCAAGGATTGACCGAGCACGTTGAGGTCTTTTTGAGATCCTGTAATTCCGAAAAAAGCATGCCAAACCCAGGTATCAAATGATACAACGGATTCCAAAATGATACTTTTTTGGCCCCTCCTATTCCCATAATCTCTTTGCTAGGCAGTTGGTCAATTCTTCCATTGCTAGTGCATGCAGTCGATGCTTCCAATCATGCTTGGGAAACCTTGAGCTTCATCTTTTTGCAAGTCCTTAGGCGTAGGTTTGCAGAGGTAATCCTTCGTGTAGAGAGTTTTAATTGCATCACAGAATTTGACCAAGCTTTCTAGGATAGTGGATTTCCTAATCCTAGAAATCTCATCCATCTAGTTTGCAGATGCACCAAACGCTAGCATCCGTAGAGATGCTGTAAGTTTTTGCTCCGAAAGAAGCCCTAAAACCCCAGTAGCATCATACTTTTGAACAAAGTATGCGTCGTAATTGCAAACATCATGCATGATTTTATTGAACACATGAGGCTGCATTCTATATTGGCCTTGAAAATCAAAACTTTAGTACAACGATTTTGGGATAAAGTAATCTTCCAAGAGATTCTTACCCCGAGAATGCATACGTCTGTCCACGTTCGAGCCACGGTATACTTGTGAACCACAATGGGCTTGGCTTGATTGATGGAGCATACCCACTGCCATGACAACTTGATTATCATCTTCTTCCCCTTCCCTTTCTTCTTCAGCATGTTTGTTCATTCTTTGACCACTTAATTAGATTATTGTTATTTCTTATTTTCTAGAAGCATTATGTTAATCTATTTTGTTGTTAGCAATTGGATGCTTTAATGATTTTCAAATTTTTTTAATTTTTTGCAAGGATGATCTATTAATGAAGACTTGAAAAATAGATGGTTTTGGATTGTTTAAAAAAAAATCAAATATTTATTTGAGGGACCCCTCAAGGGGACTATATACATATATATATATATATATGTATATATATTTGGTTGATTGTACTTATGATATTTTCGAATGTGACTGGGATAACTAAACCAATATGCAAAAACCTTGGAACAATGCAACTTGAACTAAAACCTTTATCAACTTTTCTTTTTCTTCATCTGTAATTTTCAACTGTTTAATAGTATCCTTTACTTTGCATTCAGAGGCATAATGACCAAACTTTTGACATTTAAAACATTTGACTTTGGTTTTATCATTATTTCTCTTGGAATGATTATTCTTTTGACTTCTTGGGGCTTTCGACCAATTTTTCTTGGGGGAAAATTTCTTTTTTCTATAGAACTCATGATTATCATCATTATGTTGGGAGAATTGTTTTCTACGCGAATAATGACGATGTTTTCGAATGTGACTGGGATAACTAGGCTTATTTTTCCTGGAAGGAGGGATGCTGGCAAGACCATACTGTTTACAGAAATTTCCTAATTCATATTTAGCTGATTTCCTATCAGACTGTATTTGTCTACCAATTTTAAAATCAATACACATTCTCATACCAACTTGGTTGATTGTACTTATGATATTTCCATATGTTAAGCTATCCCAATCTATATGGCCTTGTTCATTACTCAGGTTCGTGCGTATTTTGTGGGCAAATAAATTTGGAAGACCAATAACAAACTTTTCTTTCCAGAAAGGTTGATTACTATCATCCCTAAGCATGACTCTAGAGATGAAGACATCTTTGTACCATTTGAAATCAGACAACTTAGGACATTTAAGATTACTAAGCTGGTCATGGATCCTGGCAGTAGTATTACTAGGGGTTCCAATGAAATGCTCAATTATTGTGTAAAACAAAGTGTTGACTCCGTCTTCTATACCTTGACCTATTTGTTCGTCAAATATAGGGAGACCATTTTCATTAAGTTTTACAGCATGAATAATCAGATTCTTGGACTCAGGGGTTAAGTGCTTATCCCACCAATACCTGAGAGTACCGATAAACCAGTAACTAACAGGGGTAAAATCTCAGATTGTCTGAAACTGTGATTGGTGATGTAACTGTTGGCAACCATGGACATATGTTGTAACTTATTAAAGATTTCTTGCTCAGACAGACCATCAATATTCCATTCGTACAATTTATCAGAAGAAACTGAAAACTGGGTTTGGGAGTTTCTTTCTTCAAATTGGATATCTGGAGGAGTTGGTCTAAGGTACCAATTTTTGGTTAAGCTAGTGGGGCTTATGTGTCTATCTAATCTTTTGATTTTGGGTTCAACTTGGACTTCCAGATTTTTGAAAGCATTTTCTATTTTTGAAATATTACTAGTTTCGGAATTTGTTGTCTCAGGTTTAGACTCAGAGGGGTTCGTGGTTGCAAAAGAATCTAGTGTTTTAAGACCAGATTTTTCAGCTTTACTTGGGGTCAACTATTCTAAAATTTCTTCAATTTTCTTCATTGTAGGTTTAATCTTAAGCGTGGGGCTTGACTTAAGATCCTGGAACTAAACTATTGGTTTTTCAATTTTTGGTTTAAACTTAGTTTCTGGGGGACTTATCTTGTCAATCTTAGTTTCAATTGTATCCAATTGTTTCCCTATGACAATTAGACTCTAATTGGTATAATTATTCTGCTCAATTAGTCTTCTATTAGTATCATTGCTTTCAAAGGCTTTGAAGCGGCTAGCAGGCATAGGTGTATTCTTATGATTGATGATTATGGTGTCAACTGGGGGATGACTAGCTTCAACTTCTGACTTGTCTACCATTTTTCATTTTTCTTTAGTTAGAGTTTTTAACTCATTAGACATGTAGCGGCTTTCAATAAAATCAAGGTAGAAAATTTCAACTTTGGCTAACCGCATATAATCTTTCCATTCATTAAAGATTTTTTGACGGCTTTCACTATTAGGGTAAGCTTGGTGACAACTATTTCTCCTATGCTGATTTTCTGGGGTCTTGAGATGATGATTTAAGCGTTTCCAATTAATCTCAAATTTTTTATTAAGGGTTCTAAGTTGATTATCAACTGCTGCAAAATTTTCAACTAATAAGTCAGATTGTGTAGGTGACTCAGGTGAATCGGACTTGTCATCTTGGATTGGTACCTTGCCATAACAAGGTTGGTTTACCTGAGAGGATTTTCTCAAGGACTCAAGTTTGAAATCAATCATGGCCTTTTCTAACTCTAGGTCTCGTTCTAAAGTGGAGGACGAGGCTGCAAAGGAGCGCCTAGCAAGAGCATGCCTTTGAGATTGACCAGGGGTCGGCAACTGTTGTAACTGGAAATTAGACTTCTTCAGGGGCTGATTTTCAAATTTAATTTTTACTATACCATCTAGATACTGTTGGATATGATCTAAATTATTTAGACTACGCTGTATTGGAACTGGTTGGCTCTCGGTGACTAGGGTCCAATCTTTTGGAAGGGCAACTTCTGACCACTTAATGGTCTGAGGAACTTGGATATGGGCATCTGCTGTATGACTTTGGATTAAAACAGTTTGGTCTTTTGGGCTTTTATTAAGGGCTTGGAAATTCATATTAGTGCCTGTAACTTTGTAATAAATTCTGTAAACCAAGGCTAAAGGTTGGGTTCCTGGGAGGACATTATAACCTTCAGTCTTAATGTTCAGAGTTAAAGTTCTTAGTATATGAGGATCACTAAGACTTACAGTGAAATCTGGATAACAATCAAAATGTACTGGGCCATTACATAAACTGGACTCAATCACTCCTAAGGTGTTGTCACTAAATTCAATAAATCTAGCATCACGCAAACAAAGAAGAATAGAAGCTTTTAATCCTAATCTGGTTAGGGGCTTAACTGCAACTTCAACTAAACCAATACGCAGAAAGTTATTACCATCATTTTTATGCTTCTTAATTGATTCAAGATTAAGCAACTGGCAGGTTTCATGTTCTTTACTCAAAGCATACACTTGTTCAACTGTTTTAACATGAGTTGTGCTATTAAAACTAGAAGGCAACCAATGTTTCTTATATATTTTTTGACTCGGGACTTTAGGTATATTCCAATATCTAAAGTTTAATTGTTCTTTACTACTGGAATCATATTCAAATTGTTCTTCATTAACTATCTCTGGGAGTCGGCTTATACTGGTTTTAGAACTGCTCGAACTACAAGAATTTGTCCTAAATAAACGACTCATGACTACTCAAGTGTTTGGATTTGGCTTTCTAAGGAAGAAGATAAACATGGGCTTCCTAAACTGACCGTTTACCCTACAAGAAACTTATTAACCTCTCTTAATTTTCTGTCTCCTGCCCACCGCTCAGGCCCTCTACACTGGGGACATACTGTTTAGAAAAAGGACTCACGGTCAGACCTTAAAGAAAGATCAACAAATAACTCAGAGAATAAAAGGGAAGGAGAAGAAGAAACTGAAGAACCTCTACTCAGAAGCTTAAACCAACCACTTGGGCGGGGATGAGTACCAGACTTAGACAAAGACCGTAACTCTTACGGCTCTGATACCAAAACAAGGAAAGAAAGAGATAGTAATGAAGAGAGAGAACAATGCAACAATGCAACAAATAATGCAAATAAAATAATGCTTATATGAAATTACTCAAAATAGAGATAACTGAAAATAACAACTTTATTTATACTCTTTTATATATATATATATATATATATATATATATGGGGGATTCATGACATCACAGATTTGACACAGGTTTTGATACAAATTTTTAACCATTTAATTAGACTACAATGAATGGTTAAAATTAAACAAACCAATTTTTTTTTCTTTAAATAATTATTTATGAAAATTAACTTTAATTAACTTGCTATTGTATTTTCTCTCTCTTCATTATGTTTTCCCAACTTCCTAAGAGCATTAATATTTTTCTCTCACATCATCTTCTTCTTCATGCCTTCACTTGTTTTTTTCCTTATTCCAATTCTTCTTTCTGCCTTTGAAATAGCACCAAAATCCACACACCATTTTCCTCCAAAAACAACCAACCCAGCCAGCCCATACGGCAAAATCAAATACACGAAAAGGAAGATTGACATAAGAAGGAAGGTTGATCTCTGTGTTTTGCTTTTCCTGGGAAACTATTAAATTAAAAATGCTATTTTCCCTTGCTGGGAAACAACAAAAAAAATAAAAAGAGATCAAGCATTGTGAATACGATTAAATAAAAAGATCCAAAATAATCTTTGTTCTGGTGAATACGATTAAATTAAAACTGCTATTTTCCCTTTCTATTTTTCTTTTCTTTTAAAGAGCGCGATTGCCTCAAGAAGTAGAAGCAGAGAGAGAGGTTTTAACTTATACGAAAGAGCCCAGAGTTGAATTATTCATTACTCTCAGTCTCAGCTTATGACAACAAAGTTTTAAACAGAAGATATTGTCCTAAATTCCTATACTTGTAGGGCATTAACTTCATCCCACATGACAAGAATTTCATAAAAACATATGCATACAAACTTCTGGCTGTTGTCCACTCTTTCACATTCAACAACAAAAATATAGCAAGCACAAGAAGCCAAAGATGCTAACGACTAGTAACTCTACTGGTAATGTAGGCAAGAAAAGTAAAGAATTGAATGATTCATTAATTGCTCTCGTCTTATGACCACAAGGTTTTATGAAATCACGGTGGAAAATTAGAATGCTTGTTTTCAATTAGTTTCCTAAATCAGGAGAAGCTACCCAAAAAAAAAAGGGCCTACTCTAACGGTACAGACTTGGTAACCTCTTGGTATGACCAACGACAAAAAGTATTGACGAAAAACATAAAGAAACCAAAAGCATTGACCAAAAACACGAAACCCCAAAAAAGTTTTGTTATCATGGGGTTGGGGGCATCATTCATAGAAACTCCTACCCGGTTGGAATTGATAACATAAAATATATTCCCAACAACAGAGCCGCCGCCTGTGCCGTTGGAGGCCTGTGAGGGCACAGGACGCAGTTGAGGAGCAGGAACATGTACAGGTGGTGCCTTGCTTAGCAAATCTTCATGAATCTCATCAATTATCTTCTGACGTTTAGAAGTGCCATATTTTGGGGATGCTTCACGAGATTTGATGGCCAGATCACGCCTTTCTTCCGTATTGTATTTTACTGAACACAATTCACCATCTGGGTAGGTGGGCATTTCCTCAATAAGTGCAAGTAAAGCATTTTGCACGCTCCATGATGACTGCCAGTTTGATAATAGCCTTAAGCTGAGGTTGGTTCGGATTTTGAAGCGACCATTTTCCGTCAAAAACATGAATGAAGGAGGCTTCGATGGGTGTCCCTCCGGAAACTGAATCATCCCATGATAAATCCCACCCTCGAATTCAGTTCCTCTGGGCCCTTTGATAGCAAATTGCCATTCATATGAGTTCCAATTGAGTATGCGGCACTCGAAATCGTAGGAGGGATTGGATTCAATCTCATTATACTCCTCTAGAACTCGCTTCTCCCCTGAATTCTCCATGTTGCACTTTTCCTCAGCTATCACACTTCGATCCAATTCCGTCTGCGTTGATCCGACTCGATCCACAACCACCTCTTCCTGTTAACAAAACTTTAAAAAGTGAAATTATTCTCAAAATACAAAGCGAAGAGATGAGGAAAGTGTAATACCCCAAAAAATTTAATGTAGATTTTCATATTTCAATGAAAAATAATATTATGGTGAAGAATGATTATGAAAATTTTATGAAGTAATTTTGGATTGAGAATATTGGATTAAGTGTGTTTAATTTCTAGTTTGACAAAAATGCCCTTACGTGAAAAGTTGTTATTTACTATTTTGTTAAAGTTGTTTAGTTTTAGTTGAAATAAACCTTGTTATAAGGAAGTAGATAAGGTTTGAACTTTTCTTTAGGAGGATCCCTTGACTTCAAGGACTGTTAGTCATGAGATTAGTCATGGGGTCGTGTCTGTTAGTCATGTGATTAGTCATGGGGTCGTGGTCTTCTGCTTTCTGTTTTGTAAAGGCTATTTAAAAGCCACTTTCCATTCAATAAAGTATTGCATTCTCTCAATTAAAAGCTAGATATTGACAATTGGTATTAGAGCTCCAAATTGGGGCCTGAAGAGCAAGGAAAAGCAGCAACTCTTATGTAGCAAGTATCAATGTCAACTTAAGGAAGCAGCTTTGTTCAACCATCAATCCCACGCTTCGATGGTCACTACGATCATTGGAGCATGTTAATGGAGAATTTTTTGAGATCTAAAGAATACTGGAGTCTCGTGGAGAATGGAATCACAACATATGCAGAAGGAACAGTGTTGACAGAAGCTCAACTCAAAACCTTAGAGGATCAGAAGCTGAAAGACTTGAAGGCCAAGAATTACTTGTCTCAAGCCATTGATCAAGCTATTTTGGAGACAATTTTGAAGAAGGATAGGGCAAAGGAGATCTGGGATTCCTTGAAGAAAAAGTATCAAGGCACGGCTAGAGTCAAATGTGCACAACTGCAAGCTCTTCGCAAAGAGTTCGAGATGTTGCAAATGAAGAATGGAGAAACAGTCACTCACTATTTTGCTCGAACATTGACTGTTGCAAACAAAATAAGGATACATGGAGATAGAATGGAAGATGTCACCGTGATTGAGAAGATTCTCAGGTCTATGACACCTAAGTACAACTATGTTGTATGTTCAATTGAAGAGTCAAAGGATATTGATGCCCTTTCAATTGATGAACTGCAAAGTAGTCTGCTGGTACATGAACAAAGGATGACCTGTCATGAAATCGAAGAGCAAGCTCTAAAGGTTAGTCAAGAGACTTATTCACCAGGAAGAGGAAGAGGTCGAGGCAGTTTCAGAGGTCGTGGAAGAGGGAGAGGCCGCCAAGGTTCATTTTACAAATCAACTGTGGAATGCTACCACTGTCATGAACTTGGACATTTTCAATATGAATGTCCTCAGAAGGAGAAGGAGTATAAAAGACAAGAGAAGTGTGAGCTACAACACTAAGCCTAAAGACAAGAGAAATTGTTTTCAAATGCAATTGTGTGTTAGGAGAAGTGAGTGTGATTAGTGCTCTCAATTGTATAATTAGATTTTTACTTCTCCTAGGCCTATAAATAGTGAGGTTCTCCAAACTTGTAAACACACCCCAAGGGGGGCAGCTCTCAAACACTTCTCTAGAGCTCATCTCCCTTCTCTCCCTCAAATTCTCTTAGTTTCCCTTTATAGTTCTCAATTATTGTAACAAAATCCTTTTACTAAATTTTCCTTCATCAAATTCTCTAAGTTCTCAAACACTTCCCCCTTATCTTCTTCTAAATTCTTCAAACACCTTCTCTTCTCTTCCAAAAGTCTCCATGTTCTCAAACATCTTTCCCTTCGTTTCCACAATTCTCCAAGTTCTTAAACACTTTCTTCTCCCTCCTCCAAGTTCTCAAACACTTTTCCTTTCTCTTCTAAAATTCTCCAAGTTCTCAAACACTTTCTTCTTCCTCCTCCAAGTTCTCAAACACCTATTTCTTTTCCAAATTCTCTAAGTTTTTCTTTAAATTGTTGTACAAAACTCTTTTACTTCGTAGTTGTAATTTATTTTTCATTGTAATGTAAATTCTTTTCTTAAGTATTTAAGTTTGATTAGTTTCCAAATTTCAAATATGGTTCTTGTTCTTATTCATTATACTTATAAGTTAATATGCTAGTTTGAATGATTGATCACCATTAAGGCTTGCATTTTAGCTATCTTCGTTTGAATTACGAGTAGACGCCATACTTTAATTCAAATTGAACTATGAATAGGAAGAGTATGTATGAAAATTCAACAACAAGGATTAGATGCATGTTTGGTTGTTTAAAACATTCTTCTATGCTTAATGGATTCCTAATGCTTAGGTTAGACAACAAATAAATCAAATTATGAATACAAGGTTAGGATCAAACACCATGGCTTAATCATACTTTAGCTAGAATCGATCCGTTAATCTAAATTGAACTTGGGAACTTATTTGCTTGAGTTATTTTCTTATTTTCTCTCTTCCTTCTTTCATGTTCTTTTGTTTTTATTGCTGTTTCTTTCTTCCTTCTTTCATGTTCTTGTGTAGGGAAACTGAATTGGATCATTCAATCACCAATTCTTGTGGAATCGACGTTGCATTTATATATACTATACTACCGAACGGCTTGTGCACTTGAGAGTATCACAAGTTGAGGATGCAACTGAATCCATTTTTATGCAGCTGAATCACGCAACAATATAAAATGACCAAAAAGAATATATTGAATTGTGAAATAAATATAATTTTAATAAGTACCCCCTACTCACCATATTCAACCCAACCCCACCGCTACCGCCCTCCACCTCTGTCTCTCTCTCTCTCTTCCAAATTCTCTTTATGTGTTGATTTCGTCCATTAGAGTTGGTTTTCTCAGAAAACGCATTCAACCCACCCAAAACAATAATCATTTTATGTTCATCAACGGTGTTGGTGGTTTCAAGTGGGCATCTTCCCAAACGGTTCTTACACTTACCCACTTGAACTCCAACTCCTCACCCTCTAATGAATCAGATGACAAATTATGTTACTATTTGCAACACAAACACCAGCTTCCAACAACTCCAATACTACCTATTTCTTCTTTGAATTAGATACCTTGGGGGTTGATAGCAACCTTAACGGTCTAAGAAACGAACCCAATTTGACATTTTCCTTCTTCCACTAGTTGAAGGGAGATGGGTTCCAACACGATATTCCACGCTTATTAGAATCTTATGTTCGTTGGGTCTGGGTTGGCTAGCAATAAGCAGGGGAAGGGTGAAGTTGGGCTGTGTCATAGAGAGAGGGAGAATGGTTGAGTTATGTTATAGAATGTATTAGGGTGATATTTTTATAGTTAAATGTGGTGTACTTAGTTAATTTTACATTTTAATTTAAATATTAAGGTGCACTTAGATCATAAGGTATAACAAAATTAATTTTAAGATTCGTTTAACAACACTCATAGTAAAAACTGCTATTCCATTGCATGAAAGTGGAGGTTCAGTCAGTTGGGAGAAAAACTTCCCTGACACGGGATGTCACGTCAGCAATCCAACTCATTATCCTAATCTAATACACTTTTGCCATTCGTCAATTATTTTAACTTGTCGTTACATCCTCTCTTCTGTTCTCTGCAGCCAGACTCCACCCTCCTCCAACTATTCTCTCAGAAATCTTACAAATTGTTATGGAAGACAAACTTGGATGGTAAAAGTCCAAGCTTTTTTTCACCCCTAAAAAGCACCCTAAGCTTTAAAAATAAATACATAAATATATATCTTCTCTGTCAAACTTATCCTTCCCCAAAATCGCAGTTCTCTTCCTCAGTTTTTTAAACTCTTTTTTCTGTTTTGTCCATTTTTTATGGGTATTAATCCATTGTTCGGCTTGGTTTTGTTTTCGTGGCTCTCTCGCTCATTTATCTAGATAATTCACTAACCATTGAAATTGGAAAAACACTTTCTCAGCTCTGTTCGGAAGAGAGACTAAAGAAAGGTTAAAGAGGGAGGACAAATAAATATAAATAAACGAAGATAGTTGCAGCAAGAGAGAACGAAAGAGAAGTTAAAATAATCCACAGGTGGATTGCTGACCTGACATCTCCGTGCCAGGGAAGTGTTTCTCGTCTGTTGGAGTTGAGGAACAGGAACGGGTGCCTCCCTTAGCAAATTTTGATGAATCTCATCAATTAGCTTCTGACGTTCAGAAGTGCCATATTTTGGGGCTGCTTCACGAGATTTCATGGCCAGGGCACGCCTTTTCCCCTTACTGTATTTTATAGAACCCAATTCACCATCTGGGTAGGTGTCCATTTCATCAACAAGTGCAAGTAAAGCATCTCGCACCCTCCATGATGACTGCCAGTTCAATCTGATCTTGGTTTGAGTTTTGAAGCGACCATTTTCCGTCAAAAACATGAATGAAGGAGCCTTCCATGGGTATTCCTCCGGAAACAGGAGCCGCCCATGATAAATCCCACCCTCGAATTCAGTTCCCCTAGCGCCTCTGATTCCAAACTGCCATTCATATGGGTTCCACGGGAGCTGGAGGCACTTGAAATCGTCGGAGGGCTTGTATTGTATCTCTCTCATCAAGAATCCGCTTCCTCACTGATGCTGCACTTGTCCTTCGCTATCACACTTAGATCTGATTCCGTCCGCACTGATCCACAACTACCCCTCTATTCCAGTTGACAAAATTGACTTTAAGGGGGTGTATTGAATTAGGATTTTAATAGATTTTTTTTACGCTTAAAAGTCTAGTGGTATTCAATTATGATTTATAAGTAATCAATAAAAATCTGATAGTATTCAATTAGGATTTTAAAATTATCAAATGCAAGTATGGTGGTATTCAATTAGGACTTTCAAAAGATTAGAAAAAGTACAGTGGTATTAAAAAACTTACTGATTTTGAGGTATTTCATTAAATGATGTATTCTGTGAGACTTTTCAGTGGGTGATATAAATATCAAACCCTATAAAAAATCACACCCTATTACATTTGATTCTCACGTTGGTTTGTTTTGGGAGAAGATGAACATACGTGTGAAGTGAACAAGATTCTCATCTTTTCTCTTCACATGCTTGTTACTATTTTTTTTGTCTCTATTTGCATTATTTGTGTTGCTTTGCTGTGGGCACAAGCCTACATACATCCTTTGCTGTGGAACCGACAAAGAAACCAATATGCAAAGATTGATTGGTTTGTTGCGCACCGCCCATTCTTTAGGAATCATTTTTTATTTATTATTTCTTAAAATAATATTTTATTACTTTTGTAAAAACTGGAGAATAGCTATTCAAATAACTATAGAATGGCAGAATTGTTAGCATGGATATATATTTTTGAGATCAATACGATGCAAGTCTTAAAGATGTTGTTGTTAGCGGGGATATATAATATTTTAAAGATATTGTTGTTGAAAAACGTTTCGTTAGTAGAAGTCACTGGGTGCACAGATGCTTATCATCGTTGAGACTTCCTTGTTTTATTTTGATCTAAAACTAGTCTTTCTTATCTTTCTTTTTATATAATACTAATAAATAGTGGACACGGTGTAATGACTAGAAGAAGTCCATCAGTAGGAAATTTCCTTGCGTTAAGATGCTTTATTTCTTGGTTTGAATGCGTCGTGTTTGGGTCTTCTAGTCCCACTTGGGAGAAAAGGACAACTGTGCTATGATTTTTTATTTTTTTTATTTTTTATTTTGGTCCTTTTCTCCCAAGTGGAACTAGAAGACCCAAACACTATGCATCGTTTTTCAACAACAATATCTTTAAAAAATATTATATATCCCTGCTAACAACAATATCTTTAAGACTTGCATCGTATTGATCTCAAAAAATATATATCCCTGCTAACAATTCTGCCATTCTATAGTTATTTGAATAGCTATTCTCCAGTTTTTACAAAAGTAATAAAATATTATTTTATGAAATAATAAATAAAAAAAGAGATCACAAAGAGATCTTGAAGCTGATCCCATGATTCTATTTAGTCAACTGAGATTGGCTGGCATAAATCCAGATTTCATAACTTATTCACGACTCCTTAGTTTAGCTGCTGATGAAGCTTGCTTATATAGGGGGGAAAAGTATGCATGCTTACACTATTAAAGCCGGATTTGAAGCCGATTCCACTGTAGGTAATGCTGTAATTACAATGTATGCCAAATGTGGTAGCATTGAAGATGCTAATGAAATCTTCAATGGTATGAACACTCGTGATTGTGTATCCTGGAATGCCATAATATCTGCATATGCCCTCCATGGAGAAGGCAACAGAGCACTTTCTCTTTTTGAAGATATGAAGGAAGAAGGATTTTCCCCTGATGAGATAACGTTATTGGCCGTTCTTCAAGCTTGCAGTTACACTGGATTATGGGAAACTGGGTTGCGCTTATTCAATGAAATGGAGTCAAAATATGGGGCTAAGTCAGGAATTGAGCACTTTGCATGCATGGTTGATCTTTTGGGTCAATCTGAGAATTTTTCAGAACCCATCGATTTCATCAACAGAAGTCCATTTCCAGACTCACCTATGCTTTGGAGAACTTTAGTCAATGTGTGCATGTTATTTGGGAATTTGACATTTGGCAAGTTAGCTGCGAAATGTTTGCTTGAATTGGAACCTAGAGAGGCGGGTCTTATATACTTGTTTCAAATATGCACGCTAGAGAAGGAATGTTTGATGATGCTGCAAAGGTTATAACTGTTATGAATGACTTGAAAGTAAACAAAGAAGCAGGTTGCAGCTGGATCGAAGTAGATAATAAGTTTCATTATTTTGTCGCAAGTGATATGGGCCATCCAAATAGTGCTGAAATTTATGCAAAATTAAATCTATTCAAGGTTGAAATACATCAAACTTGCAAGGAAAGAAGTACCTCCATCTGATTTGGGATCTGATATAAGTCTACAAGCACAGCATCCATCTTCTTCCTTCAAGATTTGCAGCGTGTAGGATTCCTAAACTTCGTCTCATATGGATATGAAACTTTATCACTTGGCTTGGATGCAGAGGACAACAGAGATGAAGGAATATTAGTCAAGGAGCTTCCCTACTGTAAATTCTGTTTATGATGTTCTTAAATTCATAAGGGATACAGATTAAACATGCTACAATTTTTGGAACTATACATGGAATGCTTTTATGTAATGATATCTCTGTTACAATTGTGATGGCATGGATCCAAGCATATAATGCTTGTTTTGTTAGATATATAAGGAGTGCTATCCTTGTTGTTGCTGACATCTTCTACACTAAGCATATGTTAGATCTTCTTCTTGCACATGCTTACTGACGGTCTTGTGTTGATTAGTTGTTCTCCATTAGCACGTAACATAGTCATAAGCTACGTTCACTTATGCAAACCTCTTCAGTTTGTCCGTTTTATATATAGGAAATGCTTTCCATGCATTAATAGCAACGATCGTGACCGTGTTGTTGAGGCTAGGGTGAGCTGTACAGGATGTTGAATGAGGTACTAGAGCTTTAGAAGACTTTGCTATTCTTTTGTCCTTGTGGTGCAATATTGACTAAGTATGAAAAATGGTTTTCGGAATAATTATTTTCTCAAGATAATTTTTGGCGGCTTTTATTCCTTACACATCAAATAAGAAAACTTGATTTTATGGGATTTTAGTATGAAGTATATATTGACTTAATAAGCCATCATGTTTAGCCTAAATCGTATTTTGCACTAAAACCGATTTTTCATATTTTGATTTGGTGGGAATTTGATTTTCTATTATTTTTATTTGAATCCAATTAACATTTTAAACTTATTTACATTTTAAACTTAAGTAAATGAAGTAATATAAAAATAAATGAAAGTAAAAGGAAATGAAAATAAAAGGACAAAGACATTTACTTAAATGTTGAAAATGGAAATAAGGTAATCTGTGCACCAGTCTTAATTACTTGAGCTACGATTTTCTTATCCGGTTATATACTTTTTGATAAATATTAATGCAAAAATAGATTTTCACCTCGACAAATACTCCAGTCCACATATCAGCCCAGGTAAATACAAATCCTGGTTTTAGTAAGCCCATGGGCTCCAATATCTCAGGCTCACTCCTCAAAGTTTCCTTTTTCCTTTTCTTTTTTGTTTTTGTTTCTAAACAGAACTCGGGGGCGACTTCAAACGACCTTGTCTCTTGTGGAGAAAACTTTGGCGTAGACTTGGGATTCCGCGGATTTGGTGTCCTTCTGTATCCGCGGAAGGCAAGATCGAAAAAGCTTCGGACAATCCAATCCCGGAACAAATCTCGGGACTGCAAAATCTCGTCGAATCTTATACTGGATTGTTTGGTTGCGAAATAGAATCCCATCTTGCTCGTCCTGTTGCTGCATGCTGTGTGTTAATTTCTTGGTTCGTTGATTGGCGAGGAGCTTCTGTATACGAATTTTAATGGGAACTCCGGAGTTTCCAGATCTGGGTCGGCATTGCTACGTCGCCGATTGCCAGCAGATCGATTTCTTGCCCTTCACCTGCGATAGCTGCCATCAGGTCCTCTCTCTTTCTCTTTCTCCGTGAATTATATACCTCCATGCTTATGTGAACATCAAATGTTAAGAAATATGTGTGTTTTGAAAATTTCATTTTGGTTATTGGGATTGAGATTATGTTATGTTTGGTTTGCTTGGAGAATTTGCATTGGATTGGGGTAAGAATTATTATTTCTTGAAAAAAGAAACAGAGGAAGATCCCGAAATAAATTTATCTGATCAAAATTCGAAATTTTGTCCAATTGGAACTGTGCATAACAACATTCTCTGGGAATTTACAAGAAGTTTCCAGGAAATTTCTGGTCTTGGGTTGTGCTCGAGTAACTATTATTGACTTTATCGGGTGATATTGCATTTCTGAACTGTTTTAAATAATGGTACATCATGTTGCATTGCCGTGTATGCTCAGAGTTTTTATATTATTTGACTGTTTACTAGTAGGAAAATAACTGGGGAAACATTATCAAACTAGAAATATTTTTGCTCACTACTTTAACCCAAGGTGTACCCTCACCGCCTTTCTCATCACTTGACACGTGTTCATCGACATAACCATAGTTAACTCTTTACTTTGCATTTATAGAACTATGGTTTTTTTTGTTGGGTCAAAGAACTCTAATTTCATTCAACCTGAAAAAAGAGAAAGCAATGCTTACAAGAGAAACAAACAAAAGAAGGGAGGAGTGGAAAACTAAACCAAAACTCAGTTTAGTACAAAAGGAACCCCTTCCAAAGTGGTGAGCAAAAATGCTCCTCTTTCAAAAGGGAAGTGAATTGTGTTGCCTAGTTGTGGAATGTTCTCACGACCTTTTAGATCATTAGTTTTTCTTCTTAATTTTCTATAAAGTAGTGTATGCCCCCACGTATATCTTGTGAATTTCACCAAATTTTTATATGCCCTAAATGTATGCTAACTAAACAGAGTTGGGGGTTGGGATGCATCATTCCATTTGATTCTGTAGTTCTTATTTATGTAGGTTAATACAATGGTGTTGTCTTCAATCTTTCTGCGATCATCCATTTTCCTAAATTGTAGATTTTATTCTCTTACATTGTTTCTGCTTATTGGGATCATTCTTTTTCTTTTCTTTTTTAATTTATTTTTTATATTGACATAAGCCTAACATTTTGCAGGTATTTTGTTTGGAGCATCGAAGCTATATTAAGCATAATTGTCCAAAAGCTGACAGACAAAATGTCACTGTTGTCATCTGTCCCCTTTGCGCCAAAGGAGTTCATCTAATTCCAGATGAAGATGCAAACATTACTTGGGAGAGACATGTTAACGCTGAATGCGACCCTTCTAATTATGAGAAAGCCACAAAGAAGAAAAAGTGTCCTGTCCCTGGCTGCAAGGAGCTCTTAACATTCTCCAACACAATCAAGTGCAGGGACTGCACGGTCGACCACTGTTTGAAGCATCGATTTGGACCTGATCACAAGTGTCCGGGACCCAAGAAACCGACAGCAGGCTTTCCTTTTTCGGGCCTTTTAAGTAGGAGTAGGAAAGAAGTGTCAAAGCCCAACCATGCTCCTGCCGCGTCTTCCTCTAAATGGAGTAATAGCTTTCTTACTGCAGCTTCATCTTTTCGAGCCTCAGCTGAAGCGAGTGTGGCAAAATTGAGTAGCGAACTTAGCCAGAAGTGGCAGATAGCGAAGGATGGAGCAGGGCAGAGCAGCAGCAGTGGGAGTAGAAACGGGCAACTGGAGGAGTGTCCGCAGTGTGGTGCTAAGTTTTCCTCAGTCACCACTCTTGTAGACCACGTAGAAAAAGTCCATGAGAAGGGTGGCAACAGAGCTGGGGTGAAGAAGATGACAATCGATGCCTGCCCTAAATGTAGTAAAGGGTTTCGTGATCCAGTAGCTCTCGTAGAGCACGTTGAGAGAGATCATGGTGGTACATCAAGAGCATAGGTATCATTTTTGGAGAAAGTGTATGTATTACCTATTGGGTATAAATTCATTATCACACTGACAAATGCATGTATCTTTTGAGCATTCAGTCAAATTATTTGTGTTTTAGCTGTAAAATTGAATACAAAGTTATTCTTTTGTGAATCCTTTAACATCACTTGTTGAAAGCCAAATGAGATCTGGACCATCCTCATAAATCTTTTCATATTTTTCTCTACTGGCTAGCTATTGCGCCACCATGGTTAATGAAGTTAATTTTCTTCAATACTTTTATTTTAAATTATTTAATCTTAATTAAAAAATTTGTATGAAGTACAATTATAAAAAATAAAAATAAAAATCAAATCCAGCATGACCCTGATTAATTAGTGTTTAGTGCGTGTCATAATCGTGCTGGGCGGCTTAATTATGTGACAGGAGACTCTTGAGTGCTTCCATTTGTCTACCACTTCATTTTGAATTATGCTTCAAATCTCAATTTGAATTATTATACCTCTACCTTGCTTTAAGGAATAGAAAACAATTATCAACCTAATAATTTTCCTTAATCTTATTTCAACCTCATCTATTTGTCATCTTTGTTGTTGTCATTTCTATTTCTATTTTCCTTTTGTATTTCTGTTTGTCAAATCACTAAATCAATTGTGAAAAATGCCAACGATCTATATTTCTTTCATTTTTCAACTATTATTATATTTAACTTCCAAGTATACATTCATTGTCCAAACAAAAAAAAAGAGCAAAAAACATTTTTTGTCACTTAGGTTTGGCTCGAAAACAAATTTGGTCACCGTGATTTCATTTTTCCCAATTTCATCATCTTATTTTTCTCAATTTCACCATCTTACTTCGCCTCAATCTAGCAATTAGAACATGTAAAGGCTCAATTAACTTAGAGGATTAAAAAAAAGAATTTAGGGTTTTTATTAAGTGGCAAAAGGGGGCTTGATTCTCAGTCAAATTGGATTGGATTTAGGTTTGATTTGGGTTCCTTTGTAAAAAGCTTAAGAATTCTAGAACGTTAATAGAGCGATGATTTGAACACAATTGGATGCAAAGAGGTTCTTATGGTTAAATTTGAAAAGAAATCAAATTGACATCGTTTAAGAAATTTATTTTTGAAACCTAACCACTGTAGAAAAAAATCTAATACGATAAAGTTAAATTAGTAAAATTAATAAATTGATACAGAAATCAATTGCAATGTAGAGATTTTAGAAATATATAAATATTGCCAACACGAAAAAATATAGTCCCAGTCTTTTTTTTTCTTCTCATTTTTCCCATTCAGGTAAATTAACTGTCAAAAGTCGTTGGAAAAAAAACAAAGAAATAAATTAATTGTCGAAAGAGAGCAAGCAATGCATAGCACGTCTGTCATCAGAAAACGTTAATATATAATGCAGCCACGTCGGCATGGGCCCCACAAATCAAACAGTCGTATAGTAATCTTGCTACCAAGCCCTGGGGCCCACAAGTTCAACCGTTAAAACGTGTAGACGTTTTTTTCTGTATCATTATTGGAAGGCTGGACGGATATTATTTTGAGTATAAATTCAAATTTAAAACAAAAAAGGGAAGACACAAAAGAAATCGCGGTGGAATATGCTGGAATTCCGGTGGATTTTCTGCATGGCATAAGGTGGATTTTTCCAGCCTCAGGTCTGCTCTTGCAGGCATTCAAACGAGGTAATTTTTCTCAACAGTTAAATTCTGTACAAATTGATCAAGTTTGTGATGAGTTTTGGGTTTTCTCTTGGACCATTTTGGTCACCCACTTTGGCATTGCATTGTTCTTGAGGTTTGATTGGTTGAGGTTTGTGACTTGGGGATTTTGTTAATCTCAGGCTGGTTTTTGTACAATTTGATAGATACCCATCTCAGTTTTTGAGCCTTTCTTTCTCTTCTCTGCAACTAGAGCTTTCCTCATAGATTTGGAAGGGAAAGAAAGGCCAATTTCTGGGGTGCCCATTTTCATATCTGTGTGAAGTGAATTGTATGTATCTTGAATTCAAAAATGAGTGCCGTTTCGGGGGTACTTTCGCGCCAAGTTTTGCCTGCTTGTGGTGGCCTTTGTTTCTTCTGCCCGGCATTGCGGGCCAGGTCTAGACAGCCCGTCAAGAGGTACAAGAAGCTCATAGCTGACATTTTCCCTCGTAACCAGGTTCGTTTTTCTCGTTTTTTATCATAATGGGTTGCTGTTGCATTCTATCTTAAAAGTGTCATTGCTACTTGTTTCTAAGTTGGTTCTCGTTATTGTTGCCTACTTTTTGTGAAGAGAGACTCTTCCAGATGATAATGTATGTCATGCCTGTGTGCATTTTTGTGGGTTTGGAGAAGTGTTGATGTTGTAGTACATATTTAGTCCTTTGATAGATGTTGGACTTATGCTGTGCAAATGCAACCATTTGACATTAAAATCCAAGTAATGTTTTTCCCTCAGTGAACTGAAACTGAGAGGAAGGTTCTTTATAACTTGCTTCCAACCATTACATAATTTAAACTAAAATTATAACATCGTAACGTGTAAGTGGTACTTGAGTTAACTGACTGATTATCTGCCCATTCATTTTGTATGTGTTAACCTATATATCTATTTAATACCATGTTGGAAACAGGGTCTAGTCATCTCAATTCCTGAATTAATTGATGAGCAAGAACCTCATTTTGAGTAAAATGCATATTGTGTAACTTCAGAACACAATCATGTAGACAGATATCTGATAACTGATTGAAAACGGTGTATCAGCTAGTGTTGTGTGCCATGTGCAGCTGAATTGAGAATTTATTCAGTATGCATCATTGTCTAGTAAAGACTCGTATTGCATAACTTCAGATGATAGTGATCTAAATAAATGCTGAAACTGATTATGACTTTCACCTTTTTGTATACCGCGTGACAGTGCCTTTCACGCTATGGTTAGAAGCCATCAACTTTATTTCTTTGGATCCTTTACAAATATGAATATTCCGAGATTGTCTTTCAGGTTTTGTGCCATTGCACTGAATTTAGTGATTGTGCATCCTGGTCTTCTGGCTTTTCTTAAAAAATGTTGTTTTATTGAGCATGATGCATCTAAATTCTTCATGACATATGTTTTACAAGTATGATTCAATTTGTTTGATTATGCATTTTTGACATCAATGTTTTTTCACTATCCTAGTGATCCATGTCCCTTCTCCGTTTATTCTTCTGCCCCAAAAATTTTATATTTATATCAAGATTCAGGACTTGTTCTATACACTTGACAGGAAGAAGGACCAAATGATCGGAAGATTGGAAAATTGTGTGAATATGCTGCCAAAAATCCTTTGCGAATTCCGAAGGTATAAATGATATCATGTAAATCGTTACTCTAATATGTCTTAAGCTAGGCCTTTTTTCTCAATCAAATGCTTCACTAAAATATATATATTACTTTGAGTGCTCTTAGCATATAACTTAGTTAACTCATAATAACTCTACAAAATGATTACTGTGGTAATTTAATTGATAATAAGTGTCAAAAGAAGACAGAGACAGAAACAGAGAGACGGAGAAAACATCAGGAAATAAATTAACCAAAAGAATTGAGAGAAAAGAGAAACTAAGGTGTATGTGTTGCAACATGGCATGTATGCATGTAGTTATTAATAAGTCAAAAAACAGTGTGTGAGGAAAAATATGGTGTACGCATTGAACGCATGGCGTATATGCATGTAGTTACTATGAACTCACAATATACTCTCTCTCTCCTCTCTCTCTCTCTCTCTCTCTCTCTCTCTCTCTCTCTCTCTCAACCTCTCTTCATAAGTGTATATACTGTGTGTGTGTGTGTGTTTCCTGAGGGCTATGGCAACAAGTCTGAAATGTATTCGTTAACGGAAGACTTATCCATTGCGAAAATGAACACTTAGGAATTGCAAAGATAAAAGCTATCATACAACAAAGATGTGGATTTCAGATCAGTTACTGCTAGAATTTGAGCAAGGGTTAAACCTTTTTATATTATTTTACCTTCTCTTTTTTTTCTTTTCTTTTTTTCTCTCTGGTGTTGCCTATGGATTCAAAGCTTTTTCTTGCACCAAATACGTGATATATATCACCTTGCGATAAATTTTGAATAAGAATTTAGCCTTGCTTTCTGCATAGAGTGAAATATCTTTTGTAATTATAGTATTTCCCAGAAGCAACTTCTTACAAATTTTCTTAAGATCACTTTATGATTAAGCCCCGTCTGCTGATAAATACTTCAAGCATTCTTTCTCTTTTGACTAAAGTTGTAAATTGTGTGAGCAGATCACAAATTTTCTTGAGCAAAGGTGTTACAAAGAATTGCGGAATGAGAATTTTTGCTCCACAAAAATTGTCATGTGCATCTACAATAAATTGCTGATTTCTTGTAAGGAGCAAATGTGAGTTATTTCTCTCATTCTTAATTATATTATAATGGTTTTACACACACACACACATACTGTCTGCTTCTTAAACAAGATCCCGCGCTGTTCGAATGAAGCGCCAAAATATTCTTTTAAAGTGGTCCCTTTGAGGGTTTAACTTTAAGGTTTAAACATATGGCCAACACATAAACCCTAGAGCTAAACCCTAAACCCTAAACCCTATGGTACATCATGAAGGAATCAACCTTATTCTAACTGGGAAACAGTAACTAAAAAGTTAAGGGCTGTGTGAACGACCTATAGAACTGTTTGAATGCAGGATCTCCACGTAAAGTTTTTTGTGTGAATCTGGACCATTGAGGAGGAATCATATGTCTGAATGTGCAGTTCTAATCCACATTCTAGCAGGATAAAATGCCAACTATCTGGAAAGATATCACTCATTCTCTCTCTCTCTCTCTCTCTCTCTCTCTCTCTCTCTCTCTCTCTCTCTCTCTCTATACATATGTATATATGTGCATATATTTTTGTGTATTGATTTTTATTCAATGACTTTTCATAGGCGTCTCTTTGCGAGTAGCTTACTCAGCATTATGCATACTCTGCTGGATCAAACACGA